ACACTATTTGACATGTGCGGTATTTAGCTAAAATATCAAAATTTGGCCAAATTTCTCGTGGAAACAACGATACAACACTCTTCCCTTATTTCAAATGCACCCTAAAGTACAACCAAGGCATCCCAAAATGTCTAGGTGTTGTTTTCAACCTAACCCTAACCCTAGCTCGAACAAATCCACTGAGAGCAGAGACAAAGTCATTGTGTTCAATGCAGACTAGAGAGAATGGAATCGAATGGGTACTGTGCTTCAAGAAGTGCCTGCAAGATCTTTTGCATTACTATCAGATGGAGGAGCAGTTGAGAGAAGAAATCACACAGAGTTCCTAAAAACTCCTGACTAGGTTCTACAGTGGCTAAGAGGCCCCACCAGAGAAATATCAGACTCACCTAACAGGACAGATGGAATCCGAGGATGAAGTTTCGGTCAAAATGAATTGTCAAGAGCTCTGTCGGATACCAGATAATGTGCCTCTCAAGAGGTCAGGGAGAACTGTAAAAGCCCCAGAAAGACTTAATCTCTAAATAATAATAAAAAAAAATTCAATATCAACAGATGCTTGTGAAGGGGATTAAAAGTAGAGCACATTTTGACACGTTTGATGTTGTTTTCACTGTGTACTAGGTAATGTTACAGAACAGTCATGTTATATTTTGGATATAGTTCAAAGTTATTATTATTTGTTAATTATTATTATGTTATTGTTTGTTCCTGTATCTGCCATTGAAATATAATGGTTTAAGTGTTCCTATTTCCTTAAATTCAAAAGCTGTTCATTTGCATGTGTGCTTCAGTTTGTCAAAAAAAAATGTGATATAGCCAAGATGTAAGGATATGAGTTAACATGCACTAAATGATCCTCTTGGGTTTCCGTAGGGAGTATATTAAGCAAAGACAGCAACAGAATAAAGTCAGTTACTGAATAAATGCAACATGGCATGATGTGTATAGAACATTACAGTTACCACTAAAGCTTGTCTAAAGGTATTTATTTTATTTTGGTTTTAAATGGAAAAATTAAGAGAGTATAGCATGTAGACAATATGTTTTCAAACTTGATTTTTTTTTTCAAACCTTTCATTTTTAGCTATTTTTGACTGGCATGTGCATGGGTCAGCAAAAACTGCAAAATTGGGCCAAGTTTCTTTTTTGAGAAAACAACAAACCAACACTTTTCCTGCATTTCACATGCATCCTAAAACACAGCAAATGCATCATGAAATGTCTAGGTGTTGTTCAAACCCTATTCTTAGCTGGGACTTTCAGAGAACATTCATCTACAATACCTTCTAAGACATTGACCAAAAAGTTATCCAAATCAGCCAAACACATTTAAAGTCACAATTTTAAAGATTTTTAAATATAGTATGTTAGCGGTGAAAGGGTTCCAGAATTTCTTCATTTGTTTACTTACTGCTGAAATTATGTAAAATAAAAATGTTTTATGCTATTTATGGTTAAGGATTTTGTTTTGGTTTTAAATGCAAAAATTAAGAGAGTTTACCATGTAGAAAGTATGTTTTCAAATCTTTCATTTTTGACATTTGAGTTAGTGGCTGGAGCTTTTAGAGAACATTCATCTACATCTCTGCCTGGTAAAACTGTGGTCTAAAAATTACCCACATGACTCCATATTAGCCAAAAACAACTAAAGTATTTATAGCATTTCTTTTTTGTTAGGTGCTGCTGAAATTACGAGTAAATTAAGCATGTTTGGTGCTGTGTGCTAAACATAATTTTGTTTTGGTTTTAAGTGCAAAGAATAGGAATGTTTATTATGTAGAAAGTGTATTTTCAAACTTTTCCTATTTGACCATTTGGAGAACATGTATCTAAAACACTGCCTTATAAAACTGTGGTCAAAACATTTTTGTTAAATAAAAATGTTAAATAAGAATTGGTTTAATATTTCAGTAGTGGCTAAAAGACAGCAAAACGGGGTACTGTATGCCGCGTCCATGGAGTCATCCACATTCTGCACCACCTCCAATCAACACGGATCGAGGTCCACAGCCTTTAGTACAATGACAGTTGTAGGCAGTGAAAAATTATGACTACAGTAAAAGCATAATACCTCAAATCTTCATGGTCACAAGTGAATTCTAGTTTAATTAGTCTTCATTCTTTCACAGTGTCCTTTGCCTAGCGGTTCCCCCGGAAAACCATCACATTGTCACGAGGGCTCATGGTTTTCCAGAGTAGGGTTTGCTCCTGTGACCAGATCCATGTACATTAGCAATTTCCTACTTATTATTAAAGTTCCTTTTTTCTGTTTAGAGTCAATGTGCTGCTTTTCCTCACTGGCCGTACTGCTTTCAGTCTTCACATATCTCTGCTGAGCAAGACAGCACTTCAATCAGCGCAGAAGTTACAGCCTCAAGCCAGCTCTACAAACCTGTTTGATTCCCTTTTTCTGGAGGGTTGGTATTCAGTTTCTCCTGTACCTTAGGCTCCCTTGTTTTTCCAACCCACCGGCTGTGCAGCAGTTTTCTGTCCGTATATCCATCCGACTCCCTTCTTAGGAGGCTCACCATTCGGTTTCACCTATGCCCGAGGCTCCCTGTTTCTGACTGACGGACTGTGTTTGGCAGCAATTTCGGCTTTGAGACAGCACTTCACTCTGCTAAGCAGTTTTTGCCTTCAAGCCAGCACTTTGTTCTGTGCAGCAAGCACTGCAGCCTCAAGACAGGGCTTTGAATATGTCCGGCTCCCCTCTTGGAAGACTCACCATTAGGTTTCATCTGTACCCGAGGCTCCCTGTTTCTGACTGGCGGACTGGCATCAAGTAAGCCTTCGCTCTGCACAGCAGTCTCAGCAGCCCCTTGCCAATGCTCTGCTCTGCGCAGCTCTCGGTGGCACCCATTGCAGCAGCCCCAGCTCTAGAATCACCCAGCCTATGGGGTCTCAGCTCCTTGCCTGCTCACCACATCACCCAAAACAGCAGCCTCAGATTCAAGCCTGCAGTCCATTCCGCATCTACTCTTTTCACTGTCAATCGACTGTCAAGGGCCAGATTGCCCCTTGAACTTGCCAACCTTCAGCCCTGGCACTCTTGAGGGCTGCCTTTCAAGCCCATTTGGTTCCCTTTTCAGGGGTCTCGCTATCCAGTTTCTCCTTTTTTCTGACCGATGGGCTGTGTAGCAGCCCCTTTTTGCCAGGGATGTAGTATGTCAGCTTCACCTGGGATTGCTGTGCCTCTACAATTTTTTTCTTTCCCATTATTGACTAGACAGGACTGATTAAGCCCCACATGCTAGTACTCAATTATTTCATTATCGTCTTTCAGTTTTCACTCTCTGGTCTCTTGCAAATGAGTTCTGACAAATCACCACTCGCGCTGCTCTATCCAGTTGTAATGTTACACAAAGGCTTACACTTTTCTCCAGATTTAAAATTCGTTCTTTATTTGAAACATATTCTTATACAGCTCACTCTCTTTTCCTTGTTGTTCTCCCGCATCCATATCCCTTCTGTAATCAAGTAAACCGGTTTCTTGGCTTAATAATAATACTAATAATTAATAATAAACATTTAAATATAAAGTGCCTATAAAATGTCTTATATTGCATAGGTGCCCCTTTTAGCGCTTTGAAATGTGCTTTTATTCTCTACCACTGTTGTTCCTGACATATTTTTGTGACTGCAATAGCTTGAACTCCAACTGACTGGGTTCTTGTGGGTTTTTTGTCTGTAGTTACAACTTATGTTATGGCCACTTCCATAGGTTCATTTTATTTAGTTTAATATAGTTATTTTATCAAAATAAAATATAAGAGAAGAAATGGAGAAAAAAAGTTCTCAAGTTTGAACTTTATTTTTCACTAGGGTCATTGTCCTACTGCTGCTACCATCATCCTTTTGGCATGTTGAGGTGGAACTAAGCACATAAAATCCCTTGTTTAATATTGAGAATAATAATAATAATTGCTTACACTTATATAGAGCTTTTCTGGACAATCCACTCAAAGCACTTTACAGGTAATGGGGACTCCCCTGCACCACCACCAATGTGCAGCATCCACCTGGATGATGCAACGGCAGCCGTAGTGAGCCAGAACGCTCACCACACATCAGCAATCAGTGGGGAGGAGAGCAGAGTAATGAAGCCAATTTATAGATGGGGATTATTAGGAGGCCATGATTGGTAAGGGCCAATGGGAAATTTGCCCAGGACGCCGGGGTTACACCCCTACTCTTTTTGAGAAACGCCCTGGGATTTTTAATGACCACAGAGAGTCGGGACCGCAGTTTTACTTCTCATCTGAAGGACCACGCCTGTTTACAGTATAGTGTCCCCATCACTATACGGGGGCATTAGGACCTACATGGACCGCAGGGTGCTGGCCCCACTAACACCTCTTCCAGAAATATTTGTCCATGTATTAAAACATGGAAAAATATTTCTGAAAGTGATAATATGGGGCACAGAAAAAAACATCCCACTATACTCCATGGCAAAATATCACAACCCAACTAAAACCACCCTGACTACCACAAAGGGTGGTTGCACAGTTCAACCACTAGATGTCACCTGAACAATGAAAGTTCACTTAAAAATGGAGACAGACCAAAAATAACTTGTAGCCCTTCTACTGACTAGATTTATTTATATGTAAATGATATCCTGGGTGTGTTATTAGACTACTCTTCATTGGACCAATGACCTGAAGTAGCACATACTGTAAGACTACAGTACTACCTGGCACCTTATGATGTTTCTGTTAGGCTTCATTTTGTCACCTGGGTAGGGTGAAGTGGTTATGAGCAATGGATGTAATGAGTAGTGGAGAAAAGGGGATAAATCATGCACAGGAGAGAGGAAGAGGCCAGATAACAGAATTAAGAATTAAGCTAACTGTTAAATCTATCTTTAAATGCATTACTTAAATGAAACAGGTTACATACCTGGGTCACCAGGATGGAAAATTTGCTGATCAACTGATGCTGGGCTATATCACACTGATTAAACAGGAATTCTATTTGGTGCTAAAATGTTAAAAATGGACCAGTCTTATAATGCGAGTTTTCAGGCATTTTTACTTCTTGATTCTTGTCAATATTTTTAAAGAGGGTACTGATTGGTTACAGTAAATTGAGATAAATTAAAATACATTCTGTACAAAATAAGAATTTATATAACGAAAAAAACAGTTCCATAGCATTTACACTGGAATACCTAGATTAAAGAAAAGAATCCCCGTGAAGGCGGCACATGGTGCTTTTGATAACAGTAGTAATCACAGTTACTTTATGCTCCTTTGTCTTATATAAAGATAAAGAACAATTACTTTAAAAGTCAGCCCTGACATTCCTCAAAATAACCAAGTTAATGTTAAAATTATATCTCAGTTCAGGTCACCCTTCCAGGGTATATACATTTTATATACAAAAATAAAGAGTCTCATGAGCCTATGTGTTTGAAATCAAGAACACTGCTCTGGTAATAGATAACCTGTTATCATACAACCTTCATGATTTCCAAAACGTGGAAATGTATTTTCTTAACATACTGCTATTGTGTCAGTCAGATTGGTATTCCATGTGTCCATATTCCAAAGCAGATTGGAACATCAGTAGTTTTTTCTCCCATCATTCTAGCCATTCTTCTTTTAGGAGAGCTTTTCTGTCAGTTTGATGGTGACTGCTTTGACCTCTGAGTATTCTGCGAGGGCATATTCACCACTAAAAAGAATAAAAAAGAAAATATTCCTAGTGATTTTTAAAATTAAAAGATTTTTATTCTCTTTTCATATTAGTGTATTCATTAGTCAATTATTAGTGTATTCTACACATAAATTACATGGACATTTTAATATCAAAGAACATGCACTGGACAGCCATATAGTGAATGACTGTAAACAGAGTAACAACAGGAGATATTTCTTAGATACAAGAATATTAAGAATTATTTATAATGAATCAATGTCTACATATTGATGTATGTATTTCACATTTGCAAATGTAAGGGTGTGAAGAGCAACTTAATTCCAATTCAGTAGCAACTTAGTAACAACATAACTGAAACAGTAAGAGGTAAATTTAAAGAGTGGATGATGTTAGAATCCAATGTAAAACAGATTGCCTGACATAGTAGATGATTATGAATTATGAATGGATTATGTTATGAAGTTATTAATTAACCAAATGTTTCAAAATTAAAGCAATATGATCTTACAGTTCCCGGCCATTTCCTGACATTTTATAGCCACCAAATGGAGCTTGAGCATGAAGAGCATTATAACAGTTCACCCTGTAAGACAACAGAACAGATCAGAATCATTTCAGTAATTAAGTTAACTACACACATTCAATACTTTCCTCATCAGACATATGCAAATGTAACATTCGCAAATTTATTCTCGATTCAGTCTGGCTGATGGGATCTTGGATGTAAGAACAGAGCTGCACTGCTGACTAGGATCATGAGATGAATCTAGCTACAGTAGTAAGTGAGTGTCTTGCTGCCCCCTGATCATGTAATCATGACCCAATGACCCCATCTCATCATGATCTTGTTTTTGTTTTATAACAAATGCTTCCGGTTCTGTGTTGGCAGTATGAGGAATGTCAGGCTCACTGTCAGTTTTATCACGCTTTTCAATACAGTGTAGCATGCTAATCATAAAGGCAGAGAGAAAGTGCAGACATCCATTGGACACAGAGGAGGGATCGGTGTTGTTTTATTTTAGCTGATTAGTGGGAGTTTGTGATTACTATTGTATATTTGATAATTGTTATGTTCATTAACGTAAAACGAATGCATTAATACTTTAATTATCATATAAGGCAGGGTTACTTGTCTTTTAACCATGCACGCTATACAATATATTGTAGTACATTATGCAATGGTATAGAGGATCACTTGGTTATATGTAAATTTGGCTATTCACATTGGTTACATGTACTGAACCCTCATGAATGTCAAGATCCTATCAAAATTCATATCTTTTATAGACCATGATAGTGGTAGGCAATACATTATTTAACACTTTTTTCTTATTTCTAAAAACTAGAAACTTATTGGATATATTTATATGATAAATCAGTAAGATTTAAAATGGAGTCTAAAACCTACCAAATGGTACCTGACTGCAGTGTTGAAGACAGAGTCAGTGCTTTATCCATACTTCTAGTGAATACAGCAGCAGCCAAACCATACTCAGTGCTGTTGGCTCTTTCAATGACTTCCTCTTGGCTTTTAAATTCAAATATGCATTGTACTGGCCCAAAGATCTGCAAAATAAAAAATCATGCACAGTGCTGCTTAGGAGCTGGAGAGCAGTGACAACCAAAACACAAACCCTATTCTCTGGCGCAGCACGTGCCAACTGTCTGGTTGATTTGGAAATGCTATCAAAAAGTTCTTCAAACCTTTTATTTCTCTCTATATTTATTTTATTTGTATTTGATCTGTTAACTGTACCCTCATTTGTATTTTATCTTCAGTTTTGGTAGATTATAAATTCAACATCAGCATTACAGGGTCCCTTGTGTTTCTTTGGATATTTATGACAACCATCATTACAGACTTGTTGATCTACTCAGGTTGGTAAATCCAATAAAGCTCTCTATTTGAATCACACGTCTTCTCCGCCTTGGAGTTTGACTAAACTATTGAATTGGAGTTTAAAACAAAAGTTGGGGAGGAGATCAAACTCTGATGCCCTCTACCGCCTGCCCTAACATTTCTGTTGAAGAAAGATGTGAAGACGGGGGTTTGAATTTAATCCTTTCTGTAGGGGGTATAGACTTCTAAGTCACAAGCTGGGGTTTATGGCAG